TAGAAATTCAAAAAACAAACAAACAAAAACAGTCTTGGGAACCCCTCCCCCTCCAGATAGCCAACGACGAGACTGTGAAATGGCTGAGCTAGGAGAGTTTTATTCTGAGGCTCTCACTGATCCAGTGGGACCCGGCAGGACAGCGAAATGCACAGATGAAATGATACTAAGTGGGACCCGGCAGTGTCAGGCTTGCCTCAGGCAAACTTCTAAGATTACTACTGTGTAGGAAAACTGGTATTAAGTATGATGAAGAGATCCAGACATATCTAATAATTAGCGTGTGGTTTTAATGCTTTCGCCACTAGCTAAGTATAATTAAGATCTTAATTTTGAGTCTAGAATGGGAGAGGGAAAAATACTACCTTTAAAAAATGAATTAAGCAACATTAAGAATCACCCTTGTTAGTACACAAAATTGATTACAAATGTCTGAGGTCACACTTGAATTTAAGAAATCTTGCTGGAATTTAGTTCTAAGACACGTAGGCAAAACTATGAAAGCTCATAAAAATCGACAGAATTCCCACTGCACAGGGAAGAGGTAATACCGGCCTGCCCCCTGGGAGGCAGACTCACTTCAGACATGCTAAACCCGTGACCGCACGACAGCTGTCCAGTGATGGCCACTGAAGAGGTAAAGGCAGCGCCCGGGCTTGATTCCAGGCGGCACAGACATAAGCACTTAGGTATTAATGTGCTTGTGGCCACCAAGCCATCTTGACATCTATACTATGTAGATAATTTTCGAGCATTAAAACTTTTCTTTTTGGAGAGGTTTCTGCTATAGGACGCATGCGCTCACCAGAAAGACAGAGACAGAGAGACAGAAAACGAGAAATCACCCCACAGGGGGATGGCCAGGCCGAAATCCCTTCTCCTCCATTCTCCTCTCGGGATCTTGGGCACGCACGCACATGCGCCTGGCGTGAGTTTAAGCCACCGGGTCCAGGACACGAACCACGGTTGGCTTCGTGGGAGTCCAGCAACATAGCCATTACGCTAACTGCTGGTCCCTAGTCATTAAAACTTTAATCTGGGGGCAAGCAGGTGGCACAGCAGTTAAGGACACTGCATCCCACGTGGCCAACTGGGCCGACAGCCTGAGAAACACACTGAGTATATATGTGTGTGCGTGCTCAAAACCCTGAGAGTGGAAGAGAAGGGACTGTGGTGTGGCCATCTCCCCGGGGTACCCTCTCACTTTCCCTCTTTCTACCCCTCCCCACTGAGTGCACACACCCTGTAGCAAAGATGAAAACCTTTAACCTGGGAGTTGGCAAACTTCTTGGAGAGCCATATGGTAAGGGCATTAGGCTTTGTGGACACACTGCTTGGGAGAAGGCGGCCAGGGATGGGAAAGCGGGAATGGGGACAGCTATGGCCCAGGAAGACTGTGGGCTCTAGTTTGCGGACCTCTGTTTTAAACAAATAAATTTTGGTGTAGGATAGAACAATCTCTCATTACAGAAAGGAGCATATAAATATGTGGTATGAAAAAAACTTAAAAAAAAAAAGAGGATATTAAAATTAATTTTTTTCTAAAGACAGATTTTTGCTATAGGATGTGTGCACTTGCTGGAGAGAGAGAGGGCGACAGAGAGACAGAAGCGAGAAATCACCCCTCCGGGGGATGGCCACACTTCAATCCCTTCTCCTCTTGGGATTCTGAGCACACATGCACACCTGGCGTTGAGTTTTTAAGCCACTGAGTCCAGGATTTGAACCACAGTCGACTACATGAGAGTCAGTGATGTTAACCATTATGCTATCCACTGGTCTCATCCCCCAGCATGAGTTTTAAGCCACTCTGTCCAGGACTCGAACCACAGTCAACTATGTGGGAGTCCAGTGACATAACCATTATACCATCTGGTCCCAGAATATTTAAAATTCTAAGCAGCATTCGTCATTGTACTCTAAAACCAAAAAATGACTTATCGCCTCTGCTCTATGAACCTAATTGAAAAAAATCAGTCAAACGAAAACAATTAGAAATTCAGCAGACTGGGGGGCCAGCAGGTGGTGTGGTGGTTAAGGGCACTGGACTGTCACATGGCTGACTGCAACTTGCTTTCTCATTTTCTCTCTCTGTCCCTCTCTGGTCAAATTAAGATAAATAAATAAGTAAATAAAGTTAAAATAATTCTTAAAAAATTAAATAAAGTTAAATAAAATAATTCTTAAAAAATACACCAAAACAATTTCATTATTAAAAAATATTTGTATTCAGGAAAAAAAAAAAGCAAAACCCAGCAGAACTATAGTATATATATATATATATTTTATATATATTTTGGGATATAAAAAATGTGTAGAGGAAAAATCTCCAACTGCATAGTTTTTGTTTCGTTTTGTTTTTAGTTTTTGCTATAGGGCATGGATGCTCACAGAGGGGTAGGTGGGGTGAGGGGCAGGGAAGGACAAAGAGAAAATGAGAAAGCACCCCCACCCTATCTCCAGGGAGATGGCCACATTGTAATCCCTCCTCCTCCATTCTCCACTCAGGACTATGGACATGTGCATGCACTCGCTTGGTATGTGTTTTTCAAGCCACTGAGTCAGGACTCGAAACACACTGTTGGTTATGTGGGAAGACAGTGAGGTGGTTTTTTTTGTTGTGTGTGTGTGTGCCAACCAATCCTGAAATATAATTTAGTCTGACTTCGGTAACAGAATTCAAAGGTAAAATTTAACTTGCTACTAAATCTTGTCACACTGGCTTTCAAAAGTGACCTTACAAATAATTTCTAAAGTATGAAAAGTTCTCCATATTCTTTATTTGATAGTGTACACGGACCACACTAAAATGTCTCTCAGTAAGTGCAAGGCAGTGTTTTGGATACAGGGAATTCTAATAGACTGGCTGAGTTCTGACCAAATGTATGAAGCAGACGTCACTGCCTTATCTTCAGCCCTTGCCTTAGTGGGTTAAGGAACACAAACTGAAACACAGGTAAGCCTGCTTGGCTTTGAGACACGAAGGACTTCTCCAGCATGTCCACACTCACACAGTTACCTACAAGCCTAAATAGAAAACACCCGTCTCCAGAGGGCTTTGAGATGGCCATCACCACCTTTGTAGAATGGTGAACATCACTAATGAATTGCCAATGACATCTTTAGAAAAGGCAAAGAGTGCTACTAGCACTTACTGAACTGGAATTACTATCAAAAATTAAAAAAACTAACAATATGCGTTTAACCACAAGCCAGTCTTACTTAAATCAGGACTGTCCAAGAAAATATCCTGTCAGCCATTCATGATCCGAGTCCCGGTGCAGGTCAGCTAAAACCTGGCACACATAGAAACGGCGAGACATCTCTGTTTTGGCATAAATGAGGCAGTGGCCACCTACTGTCACTAGGAGCTTTTTGAAGATAAGCTATCAGCTCTGCTCTTCCTGACTTCTTTTTAACGCTAGCAAAGATCGTTTTTGCTCGAGTGATGTCTTTGGGATTCCTGATCCCTCCCTCAGTGTATCCCCGCCCCAGGTAAGGCCTTTGTTCTTGGCATCTGTGGGAGAGAATCCAGGGCCCTGACCTGTCTTCCGCCCAAACAGACCATGGAGGCTTGGGCCAGGCCGGTGCTTGCCTCCCCTTCCACGGTGTGGCCCTGGGCACACTTCCGAACAAACATCTTGCCTTTCTCAACATCGCTCATTTTAATTCTCTCTTCTGTTGCTTGGGATACTAGGGTTTCTCAGCTCAGAGGCTGGACATCCTGCTCTCTCTATTCCTTTTTAACGTGTAATGTGTTTACTGTTAGAGTTCAAAATGATGATCAAAGAAAATTTTTTCTCACAATAAAAAAAAAGGTACAATATTTCTTTTTGGAGTACAACATTTAAGTAGTATTTTGTTAACAGATTTCGGAACTTTTTTTTGGAGAGGTTTTTGCTATAGGACACATGCGCTCACCAGAAAGACAGAGAGAGACAGAAAGCGAGAAATCACCCCCGGGGGGGGGTGGCCATGCCGCAATCCCTTCTCCTCTATTCTCCTCTCTGGGTCTTGGGCACGCATGCATACATGCACGGCGTGAGTTTAAGCCACCGGGTCCAGGATTCGATCCACAGTCGACTACGTGGGAGTCCAGCGACATAGCCATTATACTAACTGCCAGTCCCAGATTTCGGAACATTTTTCAGAAAGGAAATGAAGTAGATAATTGTCAAAGTTGTATAATATTATTTACTAGCTAATCAAATATCTAAACAGCAGGTAACTATCAATTTCAAAAAACCCAATGATCTGTTTACTTTCCAGGAAAAGGCCTGCAAACCAACTACGGATAAAAAAGCATCCTGTCAAAAGCAGGTGTATAAAGGCTGCTTAATTGAAGGCCACGTATCTTCAGTGGCAACTGTGCTCAGCTCCCAGAGGCAGCACAGCCCCGGCCACCCTCTGGGAGGCATAGAGGTTATCAGGGAAGCATGTGCATTGTAGCGGGCAGGCAGGTGTGAGGGTGCTGTTGGGAGGGGGTCTCAGGAACCACATATTCTCTTCCCCACACTAACAACCCCACAATGAGCCACAACCAGAAAACGTGCACAAACATTCTCAAGAAAACAAAGCACAGACAACAGCAACATGGCCAGGTGGACGTGGACTCCTCTCTAAATAAAGCGAAACACAGAGTGTGCTTGGTCTAGTTGTAATCCAGACCGGATCCACGGGGAGATTTCTGACAGCAGCAAAGGAAAATCCTCCCTCAAGTCGGGTGGCCGAGTAGGCCTCCTAAAGCTGAGGTGGCGGCAGAGTGCAGGACTAGCAGGGAAGAGCCTTTCAGATCACATGCGTCAACCTCTCCTGGCTCAACCAGCATTGGACATGCACACCAGGAAAGGGGTGCGTAGGAGGGGCATGCAGGGGAGGGGCACACAGAAACAGATGTCACTCTGGGATAACTTTCTCCCCACAGAAGGCAGCTGCCGACATCATGAACCTTGGAGTGAGTTAGTTAAGGGCCATCCCAAAGCAGGTGGGACCCTGGCTACCTTGGGCGGTGCTTCATCGGACCCTCCGGAGTCCCAGGACACCGTAGCCTGTCTTCGGGACTCCATCCTCATCCGTTCTTCTTGCTGCACCTTCTCCTCCTCTAGGATTGTGCTAGAGAGACAACACATGGCTGTGAGGGTGCTGGAGGCCCAGTCAGTGCACACCAACCCCACCCAGTCCCGTCTGAGCACCAGCTGCTGCTGGAACGTGACGACAGCAAAGGGACCCCACACGGGCGGAAAGGAGGATCAGGTTTCTGAGTCTTCAAGAATGTTTCTTCAGCAGCCTTGTCTGAGAGGGCAGGCCCACCTAGAGCACAATCACGGGTGACAAAACGACAGCTGGTGAGGGAGACAGAGGTTGGCAGCACGGACCGGCCAAGATGAAATGTTTGCATGCCCAAGTTTATCTGGAGAGGAGAACCACCCTGAGGAATCTCAAGCAGTACTTTATCAAACACATACATATCTGAGGACAGCCTCTGTGTGGGAAACACGGGTTCCCATACAATGCCACCACCCTAGCGCACGGTGTGACCAATCAGCAAGCTGGCTGACAGCGTCCCTCGATGGTTCAATACAATCTCCCTGCTGACTTTCAGCTCACCCAGAACTTTATGTGATCAGGAAAAACGCAACAGTTTTTATACATTTTTTTTTCAGAACTTCTGAAAATACTGTTTGCTTGAAACTGGACCCCCGCGGACCCCCGCCGTCGGTACCACTGCTACTTACCACTGCCGGACTACCCCGAGGCTAGCTGCAGTCCCACATACCACGGTTTCAGGCGGCCTCCACAGTGGCTGCTAGGCGGCTCTGTGGTCCTGGCTGGGTGCCATCACAGAAAGTGCTCAGGACACAGTCGGAGTGAGCGCCTACAAACTTCCGTTCCACACGGTTCCCCAGGGCACCAGGGCGGCAGGGCTCTGAAGCCCTGGTCCTAACTCCTAAGCCTGGCGAACAGCCCTTTCTCGCTGCTAGCCACTCGAGAGCTGTAATAATGAAGCTCATTCAACGTTTCTGGCCTCCTGGTGGACAGAGTGCAGTGAATAACCACCCAGGAA